GGTAGGCAACAAGACATGTAATTCCATCCTTTGGAAGGGCTGTGTGAACACACTAGCCTTCGATCAGTCCCTGTGGCCAGTGCCCTTTCTCCTGGCCACCTTTACAGAGCTTTGACACATGCTGCTCCTCCTGGTGCCCTACAGGAGCCAGGACAGCAAGCACAGGCTGGGCTCCCCTGGAGGGGCAGCAATTGTGGCTTTCCACCCGGGATGCACAGCAAGAACCATGACCCCTGTCCTGGATCAGGGCAGCAGCCTGGCTCTTCAATGTGCTGGGACTGGGGTCAGTCAGATGGCAACCCCAGAAGGTACCCACAGCATCATTCCAGAACCTGAGTGCGTGTCACCTCCCGTGGAAAGAGGGATTGGTGGGTAGTGTTAGTCAGTTTTCCATTTCTGAGACAAAATACTTGACATACACATCTCAAAGGAAGACAGGTTTATTCTGTGTCAGTTTCAGTCCACGGTCAGTTGGACATAAGGCAGAAACACCATGGAAGAAGGGCATGGTGAAGGAAAGTGGCCCACCTCCCAGCAGCCAGAGAGCAGAGCTGAAGAAAGAGCCAGATGGGGAGGAGCAAAACACCAAATGTCGTCTTTAAGGTCACAGCCTCTCAAGACCAGCTCCTTTGTAGGAGAGTCAGGTCCTAAATTCCATGACTTTCCAGTAATGCCATCAAATGATGGCCTTATCAATGGATTCACTAATTGATGAATTGGAGCTCTCATGTTCCTATTCTTTCTGAAACCACTCACTTCAAGATGTGTGCTTTGCTGATTTCCAAAAAAATTCATAACTTCCTTTCATCAGGGGCTGTTCAGCAGTATAGCTCTGAATCCAATCAAGCTGACACGCAAGATTAACCATTCTAAGTGTGTAACTAAAGGCCTCAGAATGTGAGGTTATCCTGAGTCACTTGGGAGGGCTGTGTGGGTCCCAGGTACTCATGAGAGGAAACTGGAGGCACCGAGTGGCAGTGCAGGAGGGAGGGCACCTTCTGGTACTGCTGCAGAAGGGGTGGCAAGCCAGGGCAGGAAGCGGTTCCTCTTCAGACTCCAGAGGAATCAGTCTTGCTACAGCCTGATTCTGCTCAAGGAGGCCCTGTAGACACTGCTACCAGAACTTTACCAGCATAAATCTGCCAGGCAGTTTGTGGTGTTTGTTTCAGTAGCCATGGAACAAATGCCAAGATCCCTGGGGGTGCTTCAACCTGTGCCATGGCAACACCCACGTCACCCAACAGCTGACTTAACTCACTCTCCTGCTGGCCATAGAGACACCTATAGACACCTTGTCACTTCAATGCTGTAGGCCTGGGCCCGAGGCCCTTCTCGGTGGTTCTACCTGCCTGTCCTGAGGTAAAGAGTCTCTGTAGGTGTTGGGAGGGACCTGAGGGTCCGAGGCACTGTGGCAGCACTGGGGCCCTGTGTGGCACACTGTGTGGCCTGCAGAGATGAGACCTTGCCCAACCCTCAGACCAGCCTGGGGTCCTGTCAGGGTTGACATGGAGCGTAGTTTTCGAGCCTGGGCATCTCTTTCTTACTAGGGTGTAGACCCCTCCCTTATGCTGTGGGGCCACTGATGGGTGGCAGCTCTTGTTGCTTGGCAACCTGTTGGTGCTCCACATTGAAGGACAAATCAAGAGGAGGGAAGGACCAAAGGCAGGTGGTGATTCCCACAGCTTTCCCACGTGGCCTACCTGAGAGAAGAGTGGGAGAAGTAAGCTGTTCAAAGAGATCTGGGCAGTTGGCTACCCTGGGATTAACTCACCTAGGTTCAGCAAGGGTCAGGGCCAGAGCAGCTGCCCAGATGACCACCAAGGTGAACACCTGTACTGGATCCCAGCTGGGCAGTCTTGGACGGTCATAACACAGGGACCCAGCCCAGCAGAGCCACCCAGTGGACATGCCAGGGAAGGTGGGCAGTGTTTCTAGAACATCAGCCTGCAACACATCCATCCCATATAGCACATGTGGGTCAAACCTGTTGACAATGTCAGATCTGCCTTGCTCTGGCATTTCTGGTTCTGGACCTATCTCATTCCTTGTGTGCTGTGTCTTCTCTGCTACCTCTAGCAATGCCTGGACTAACCAGGTCAAAGCATAACTGATTTGGGCTGTTTTCAGCAGGGGAAAAGTTAGGGGCATCCTATTCATTACCACGAGACATTCACAAGCAACAGAATGACACCTGCCATCCCACTGACACCCCCTTCTGAGAAGGAAAGAAGCAGAGCCTGCCTGAGGTCTCATGAGCTGCAAGCTAAGGGACACACTAGAGCATCTGAAATGCTCCCACTAGGGAAGGGGCTGAGATCAGCAGACCAAGAACCATGGTAATGACTTGCCTGAGTCAGCGTGGGATGTGAAGATAAACCCAGCGACCACTGTTCACACTTGGATTCTAAAAGTATGTCACTTCCACATTCTGCTGAGGACAGCCTCAAGGCATGGATGGTCACAAAGGCATGAAGTGCTTCCTCTCAAATACCCTTCTCTTGGCTTCTCTGAGTCTGTAAATCTCTGTGAATGTGTGTCTGGGTGGGTAACATGCACAGAATGCAAACTGTGCCACCTTGATACTGAGGGCAGCATGTGCTTCAGGGTCTCCGCCACTGTGTCTTCTGTCTCCACAGCTTTCCATCCTCCTGACACTGGCTCTCTATACCTCCCAGCACCAGATTCTGTGGGCCTGTTACATTGCGTAATGAGTTTATTTCCCTGAGCATAATGCCTGCAAGGTTCACACCCTTTGTGGCATATGTCAGATTTCCTTCTTCCTTAATAAGATGGAAAATCCTGGAGGTGAATGGGGTGACACCATGACTCCAGCATTCAAAGTTCACTCAAACGAGCCAAAAAGTGGCAAAGATGGCAAGTTTTATTTATATTTTACTAAAAGAAAAAAATTGATAGAATATGGAAGTTTTTCCTTCTGGTAGTTGGTGGTAACACCTTCTATTTATTTAGTACCTGTTGCGCACAGTGGAAACACTTCTAAGTGTTCCCCACCAAGTCCCCACTGCAATGATCTCACAAAAGAACTGTCACCTTGTCCCTCTGACACACAGGAGAATCTCAGAAAGAGGTATGTGTGGTGTGGACAAAAGCCAAGCATGCTACCCTATCTGCTCTCATTTTCTCAAGACACCAGAAGCCATCATGGCCAGATTTGGGGTCAAAGTCTTCCAAGATGTGTTAGACAATGTGTCACAGGGTATGTGTGAGGCATCTGCCACCCCAGACCGGAGAACGCACCATGTGCCCTAGAGTCACTGCACTGTTTGCCCACGCTGATTGAATCAGCGCACTCTGGCAGGAGCAATTCTTTTTGCACAATAGCTTGTATCCTGAAAAATATCACCAAAGGGCTAACAGGCAGGGGAATTTAGTTCATGAACTCATACTCCAGCAGATGGGCATCAGCGATCATGAACTACAACATCTGTTCATCGTAGTCTGTAGTGATGCCATGATCTGTCAGGTTAATCTGTAGGTATTTGATTCCAGATAAGGAAGAGGAGTTTTTCAGATGGGTTCCTGGCATTTTGAGGTTCCCCACATCCCATCGAGTGTACAGAAAGAAGGTGATTTCCTTAGCCAGCCCTTGCTGCGGTTAGAAGCTCCCTGGCTTCCACTGTTACTACCACACCAGGGGAAGCCACCACTGTCTTCCTCCTTATAACACAGATATTCTCAGTACATCTTTCACAGTCTTCCTCTGCTACCAGGCACCTTTTCCAAAGGTGCGACATCAGTCTGCACCACCTCCACTGAGGACGCCTGGGGAGTGGAAGAGGGCAGTGACAGGTACAGCAGTGGGTGACCCTGAGAGGATTTGGGGTTTGGGGATCCCCCTTCCATGTTAGCCAAGCAGCTCTATTTCCATTCCCTGATCCTCTAGAAATCATTTTCCCTCCTGCATACATATTGAATAACTGCTCTTGAGAAGTGGAGTCATAAACCGCTGAAGACAACTGGAAATGACAGCTGAGTCACAGGACACTCAAAATGAAGAAGTCAAGCCAATATCCCACAATTTACCCTTCAATTTAACCTGCAGTTGGGGCTACCATGTTCTTTGGTGAATTTAGCTTCTCTGAATCACGCATTGAGCCCACCAGATGAGCTGGAGCAGAACCTCTGGGCACCTTAAGAGTAGAACTGAGTTGCTCCTGGCAGGGGTCACTGTGGGAAACTGGGCAACTCCGCAGGGCGGGCTCGGGACTACCCAGACCAGCACCAGTGGACACCCGCAGCGTTCTCCTTCCCACCTACCCCAACACCTCAGACCACACAAACTCACGCCTGATGCACATCTTTCCCTGGTTGTGTCCAGAATGTTTCATGATTTACAATGTGCACAGCTGTTGCAGGGCTTTCTCTTGACCCACCTGTGTTGTCATGGGAACTGTGGTAAACCCACAAGTGACATTTCTGTCCACGTTTCACAAGCTGGCAATCTTGGATTAGTAAACAGGAGAGTGGGAACTGGAAGTGGACATGTCACACCCCTGGCCTGGCTCTGGTGGCTGGTCTGAGAGAATGTGGGGCCTCTCTATCTCCTTGATCTGGGATGACCAAGTTTGGGATTAAACTCACAGAATTCTAAACCTTTAAGACATTTAATATTTTTTAGCTCCACACTATTCACACTTTGCTGGCTTGACTGGCTATGCTACTGGCGAGACTTGGTGGAGAAGGCTCTGGGCCAGACACTGCCATTCTGAAATGGAATGTAGATTGGAGACTAATGTCACCTCATCTCACCTCACTTGCAGCCACTTAACCCCTATGGGCCCAAGAGTGCAGCGCCCTTGGCTCCAACCACAGCAGGGGAGAGGTGGGCATGGCAAAGATCCACTAATTTAATGGCACCCAGCCCAACGCCCACCGCATTCTCCCGGGCCCCTGTCGCCAGAAGGCTCACAACTTAGCTCCGGCCAGGCCCCCTGCGCCTTCGTCCCGGTCTTGGCCCCGCCGCCCACGCCCGTGCTCACCCGTTCTTCCTCGGCGCGGATGTCCGGCATGGTACTCAGACAGAGGCCGACGGCCGTGACGGCCACAAACGCCACGGAGACACAGGCGAAGAGCTTGCCCGCCAGCCCCGAGTGCGGATTGTCCACCACGTCGCGGAGGCGCCGCCGGCCACGCTCCAGCCGCCCGGGTCCCAGGGCGCGCGCCGGGCTCCCCGGCGCCCCGCGCCCCGCCGGCCCCGCGCGCGCCTCGGCCGCCTCCTCCTCGCGGCGGCGCAGGCGGCGCAGGCAGCAGCGCTCCAGGCGCGCCTCGTCGATGCCCCAGTAGGCCAGCTCGTCGCGGAAGGCCAGCGCGCACGGGCCGCGCAGCAGCCGCAGCTTGCCGGCGCGCAGCAGCGCCACGATGGCGCGGAAGGCGCAGGGGCTGCGGTCGAAGAAGAACTCGTCGCGACTCACGTCGTAGTCGTCGCACACGCGCAGCAGCTCGTCGTGGCCGCGGCAGGCCCGGAGGCGCTCGAGGCGCGCCAGCGGACAGCGCGCCAGGGCCGCCCAGGCCAGGCGCACCCTGCAGCCGCCCACGTTGATGATGACGTGCCGCGGGCGGGCCGCTCCGCCGCGCGCTCGGCAGCCGCCGGGCCCCGGGTCGGGGGTCTCCGCGTGCCCGGGCAGCAGCACCATGGCCCCATGCGGCGGCGGCCCCGGGCGGCGCTGCGCTCCGGAGACTGGGCCTGCGGAAGGAAAGAGGCGCGTTAGGGCCGCGGGCGCGGATTTGGAACCTGCAGGGCCTCGGACCCGGGCTGGAGCCGGGACTCCCCCTGCTGGGCCGCATCTCCACGCAGTCCGAGCAGCAGGGCCCTCGAGTCTTCCCGCAGACCCAGTTAAGTGGCGACCTGATTTTCATTTAGTCTCCTCAAGAATAATGCTGCATTCTTAAAGTATGCCCACTTCCAGGGAATTATTCGTGCTTGGAAATGCTGCTTCGTGGCTGTCGGCCAGGGCTGGTTGGTCAGTTTTAAAGACAAAATTCCCTGCCCTTCAACAAATAAAGGATAAGGAAGGAACGAAATAGGTGGGCGGGTGAAATGCTCATAAAGGGCAATGTGTCAGTGCTGTGTTTGGAGTCCAGAGTGGACGAAATCAACTATAAAAAGACTTAAGAGTAAATAAGAAAACCTGACCACTACAGATGAATTAAAATTTTAAAGGTGTAAGCATGGTATTGTGGTAGGTGAAAAACGGGAGAGATACACGGCGCTGTTCGTAGATAAAGTGGTGGCCCACAAAACTGTCTTCCCTTGGCCCTCACAGCTGCGGGAGTTCAATGGTGTGGGTACCGGGCTACACTATACCGCCTTCTGTGCTGTGGTTTTGAATCTTGACATTTCCAACATGGAAAATGTTTTCTTTTGCTTTGCGCTGAACAAAACTTCCAGATAATTTTGCTGCATAGCTAGGGTTGAGAACCACCGACGTGGAGAGACAGAAACCCACAGTCTACTTTGCTGTGTTGCAGGTTCTCTAGTATCTACAGAAATTCTTTAGCGGGACTCTGAACCTTCTAAATTTACATGCAACTGTTTGCCCTTGCACATTTTTCTGTGAAGAGCCCACATTTCTCAGAGAATCCTATGAAGAAGAGCACATTAGTAACGTCAATGACATTTATCTCACCGACTTTCATGGGTCCTTTTCCTATTGTGCTGAAGAGCAGTTCCATCCCCCTCTGAATGTACTACCCAAGATGTCTCTCTCCTTCCTGAGAGGGGGCAGCTGAGGTATTCAGCGTTGGGCACATCTAAGGACTGTGGCTATATGTAGCAACAAGAGTGGAAAAGATAAATAAGTCCTAAATGGTGTTAGAACAGGACCACTGACAAGCAAGGACTCTCAGGTGTCCAGAGGGAGACACAGTGCAGCTCAGTGTCCTCACAGTGGACCACAGTGGCCAGGAATACTTAAGATAGAACCGCTGGATCCTGGTAAGCATGAGCTTTGTAGTATTCCATCTTATTCTGCTTCTATGTCCTACTCCCTGCTCAGTGGTGACCTTGAAACACAGCCTTTACCAGACACCAACCAGGACTGGTTACTGGAAGGAGGAGCAAAGACCTCATTTCCTAGGAATTATCATTTAACCTAGCGGATAGTTCCTGTAAAGACCAACTGAAAGCCTTGCCTTTATCTCATGTAATGGGAAATTCTCCCAATGCCACAGCAGCCAGCCAGGGAACCTTTGTCAAAAGCATTTATAGAAGAGTATTTTAGCTGCTGCTGTCTGAGGCAGTGGGTCACAGCTAAGACAAACAGCTTGCGAAGAAAGGTTGGGAAATGAGATACTTTGGGAAATAGGGATGTGGAGCAGTTCCAACAAATTCCTAGGACCCTGGAATGTTCGTGTACTCAGGAAAGACCACAGAAGTCCCTCAGACCTCTGCTTGGCTTGACCTTCAAATATCCAAGCAGGAGGCAAGGACAGACAGGTGCGAACTATGCTCCAGGTGGCCCTCACACACTTGAAAAGGCCATCTGCAAAACATCAGCTTTTCATTTCAGGTGTTCAAGAACATGTCCAAGCACTATAGCCACTAATCTCAGAGATCAGAGACGTGAATGGCCACAGAAGACAGAGAATATGGACTTTACCGCACTAGCCCTGGAATGTTACTAAACAAACACACAAGCGACAACAAATCCCGATGCGTGAGGGGACTGGATGTCCAGAACTGCCATGTGTATTACTCAAAATGTCTAGTTTTCAATAAAAAAATTTATAAGGTGTACAATGAATAAAAAAAGCCACATGCAGGCAACTAGTTCAGCTATTCCTATGGAAGCCTAGACATGGGAGTCATTAGACAAAGACTTTATTCACACAGACAATAACAAATATGTTCAAAGAGCTAAAGGAAATGCTGAGAAAGATGTCTTACCACATAGAGGATATTGTTGAAGACACAGTTATGAAAAGGGAGCAGTAGAGATTCTGGAATTGGAAACTATCAGAATGAGAAGGAATCTTCCAGGAGGCATCCATGGCAGTCTAGGCAGGCACTAAAGACAGATCATCCAAGAGCTTCCCATGTGAGCGCCAGAAAAGAAAGCACTGAAGAAAAGGATCTGTGTGTTGCTGTCAAGTGTGCTCATTTGTGCGTGAGGATCCCACCAACAAGAAGAGAGAGAAGGGAACGGAATATTCAAAGAGATAATGATCAACAACCCCTAAATATGAAGGAAAACATTCAGCTATACACCCAAGAAGCTCTACAAATGCCAAGTCAGATAAATTCAGAGATCCATACTGAGATGAACACAAATCACACAAAGACAAAGACCATAAGCATTTTGAAACAAGGGAGAAAAGCAGCTTGTGGTGTAGAGGGGTCCTCGGTAAGACAAAAGATGAGTGTTTCATCAGAAACCGCAGGCCTAGCAGGTGTGGGATGGCATGATACCATTTCATACACATTCATTTGGTTAGAATCAAACAAATGCAAAGAAACAAGTTTTGGAGAAGATGTGGGAAAATCAGAATCCCCATACATGGGATATAAAATAGTGTGGCCACTGCGGGACACAGTTTGATAGTTTCTCAGAAACATAAACACAATACCAAAGAAAGAAATGAAACCCCCAAAGAAATGAAAACATACATCCACACAAAAGCTTGCATATAAAAGTTCACATTAGCATCATTCACAAGAGTCAAAAGAGGTCAGTGGCAGTGAGGAGGGAGAAGGTCTCTGTCGCTGTTAGTGAACATGTGGCCTGCACGCCAGACCACAGCCTTGAAGACGGCTGCAATGGCTGAAAATGGTGATAACGAAAAAACAGCTGCTCGGGAGGCCAAAATCTGTCATCAAATTGACCAAAGGAAAAATTTTAAAGGAACAGATCCAATTGGATGAAGCCTGGGTACCCCTGGAAATAATGATAAAATTCAACAGACTCAACTTTCTAACCACAGACTTTAATGTAATAGTGGAATAATTGAGCAAATCTAAAGAAGAACTCATGGAAATCAGTGAAGATAAAACAAAAATCAGAAGATCTCCAAAGTCCTCCTTGAAGTGACAGATGGGTAAAAAAAATGCTGTGAAAAGAGATCTGTTTATATTAAAGGTTTCCCATGGATTCAGCCTTCAATTACATCAAACAATGGCTAGAAGATAGAGGTCAAGTACTAGACATAGGATGAGAAGAACACCACACAAAGCATTAAGGGACCAGCATTTGCGCTGCTTGGTAATGCTGAATCTGCTAAGAAGTTTATAGAAACTCCGGGCCAGAAGTATAAAGACACAGATCTGCTAATATGTTTTAAGGAAGATTATTTTGCAAAGAAAAATGAAGAAAGAAATTTAAAAAATGAAGAAAGCAAAATAAAGTGGGAGGTAATCAAAATCTAAACAAGAACAAGAAGAAAAATGGAAGCTACAGAAAATGCCAAAATGAAATCTCTAAAAGAGAAGAGCAGACGCCTGCTGAAGGTTTTGGGAACTTAGACAATCAGACCTGTAGTGAAGATCTGCACACCCTTTTCCCAGCTCACGGTGAGTTAAAGTGGGTAGACTTTGCCACAGGAGCGAAAGAGGGAATAACTCTAAAGAAAAAGGCAAGCAAGTAGTGGATACAGCAGAGATGCAAATAACGGCAGCCAACAATGGAGAAACGAAGTGACGTGGGGGCAATGGAAGGGGAGGTGGGAAGCAGCTTTGACAGCAATCACGGAGGATCAGTCGGAATCCCTAAGCAAGTGGAAACAGAAAGGTCACAGACTTAAAAAGGAAAAAAGAAAGGGAATAAAGCTGTAGAGCCTCGGCCTGCCACAGGAAAAGCACAGTTTCAGGACAAGAAAACCCAGTGTGACAGTTACGCAGAACGGGATGAAAACGGTGCTGCTGGACCGGCCAAGAGAGCAAGAGAAGAAACCGAGCAGGCCTGCATCCGACAGCAGAAACGCAGTGTGCCGGCAGCTGTCGTGTGACAAGCAGCCTTTTTATTCATGTGAGGCTTTAAGCTGCTTTATATCTTTGGAGGCTTTTAAAAAGAAAATGGAGGCCCAGGGATTTAGCTCAGCGACGTGAGCACCTGCCTGGCAAACACGAGACAGACAGCACGTTTGATCCTCGGTGCCAAAAAAAAAAAAAAAAAAAAAAAGAAAATCGAATGAGGTCTACTTCAGTGTCCATCTGTAAAAATGGACAATTTTTTTGTTGCTGTTGTTCTAACTAGTCTTTTTGTTGTTATAATCCAAAGACATTTTTAAAAAAATGTATAGCTCTGTTTGTGTTCAGATGATTCAGATGGCAGATTCTTTCACTAAATTACTTTTGTAACATGAGAATGTATCCACATAAAATAACAAAATATAAACTTTATAAGAAGTAAAACTTTATAAGAAGTAAAAACTAAACAAACAAAGCAAAATAGTCAAAAGATGACAACAACCCAAATTCTATCAACTGATGAATAGATGCTCCACACGGTAGAATATCATTCAGTCCCAAAAAGGAACTAACTACTCCTACAACATGCATAAACCCAGAAATGTAACACTGTTATGTTATACATAATGTTATACTGTTTTACTAAAAGAAGGGCAAAAAAGATCAACCCAAGTGAACCCATTTATATGAAATGTCCACGATCAATAAATTCTTAGAGAAAAAGAGCATGGGAGGAGGAGTAACAGAATAACTCCTTGAATGAGTACACTGCACTAGAAGTG